GCTGTGATTACAGGTGTGCATGCCCAGTTTATACTTGTACTCTTGCATAAATTTACATAGCTCATAGTTTGTTGTAAACTTACATTTTTTGTTTACTAAATTCTGATGTGTTTACTCCATAGATGCACTCATTAAGAGGTGAAATGTCAGCTGCAAATGGCAGCCAGTCTGAAAGTTCAGTGTCTACTCCATCTGCCTCATTTGAACCTAATGACACTTCTGAAAACTCTCAGTCGGGGGATATAGAGCTTTGCCAAACACCTATCACTTCTGCTGATACAAAATCAGATACTCTAACAGGTAATTGTTTGTATACCTTTTAGGAAATAATGCAAATTTTTTCACTTCATTTTAAGGGTGTGGATTAATTTTTTTTTGAGGAGCTGGGGTTGAGACAGTGGCTTACTATACAGTTCAGATCCTTGAACTGTCAGTCTTCTTCCTCAGCTTCCCCACCATACCCAGTTTAGAGTACAGATTAGTAATATTTTCAAAAGTGAAGAGCTGAGGATGTAGCTCAGGGTTGGAGCAACTAGCCCAGCATGTCCAAGGCTCTGGGTTCAATGCTTATAGCACAGAAACAAAACTAAATATATTGTATGTGTTTTCCTTCACATGCATTTAACTTAAAATTGGGTTACAATTTTAGAGTGGTCCTAATTATGTAAATGTCCTTTAGTGATAGAATGGGAGAGTCATTGAGTGTGCTCCTCACTCCCAGGGGTAGAGTATAGTTTATAACATTTGGTTTATACTGCAAAAGATAGACATTTAACAGTTCTATAAATCTTCCAGGCCTAGAGGATTTTTTTTTTTTTTTTTTTTTTTGTGGAGCTGGGAATTGAACTCATGCCCTTGTACTTGCCAGGCAAGCACTTATTCAACTGAGCTATCTTTCCAGCCCCTCCTAGAGGATTTTGAAAGATTCAACTAAATATATTTGAAATTGTTTTTATAACCTGTAAAATGTCATACATTACTTCTTTGGGTGGTGGGGAGCTTTTTCTTTTTTCTTTTTTCTTTTTTCTTTTTTTTTTTTTTTTTTTTTGCGGAACTGGGAATTGAAGTCAGGCCTTTGCACTTGCCAGGAAAGCGCTTATTCCACTGAGCCATCTCCTCAGCCCCAATGTGGGGAGCTATTAAGACAGGATCTTACTATGTAGTTCAGGCTGGCCTTGAACGTGCTGTATAGCCCAGGCTGGCCCCTAATTCCCAACAATTCTGCTTCAGCTTCCTGAGTGCTGGGATTACAGATATGTATCGCTATACCTAGCTGCATTTTTAAATTAGAATGTATGACTTTAACCAGATTTGGAAAGTTTGGCCTGTTTTCTTTTCAAATATTATAACCCTTGTCTTAGTAGGCTTAGTTATACATCTGGGTGTCATGATACTGTCCCATGGGTTCATTTTGGGGGGTTAGATACCAGGAATCAAACACAGGACCTCGTGGTTGCCAGGCAGGTAATATGCCACTGAGCTATATCTTCAATCCCCAGGTTCATTTTTAAATTTCTTTTCTTTTCTTTGGATTGGGTGATTCTGTTCACTGTTATCTCTGTTAATCCCATCCATTGAATTTTAAAGTTTAGATAAAATTAGACTTTTTTTTTTTTTTTTCTTAATGAAGGACTTTTTTTTTTTAATTTATTTATTGTGTGTGTGTGGCCAGCTCAGCCCACCAGGGGGCGGGGCTGGCTGGCATGTGGTGCTGGGGGATTGAACCGCGGTCCCTGTGTTTTGCTGAGCTTGTTCTAAGTAGGTGCTTTAGACCACTGAGCCATCTCACCAGCCCCAAATTAGACTTTTTTTAAATTACAGGATTTCTAATTTTCCTTCCTAATTAAAACCTGTTTTATAGGGCTGGTGAGATGGCTCAGTGGTCTAAAGCACCTACTTAGAACAAGCTTAGCAAAGCAAAACACAGGGACCGCGGTTCAATCCCCCAGCACCACATGCCAGCCAGCCCCGCCCCCTGGTGGGCTGAGCTGGCCACACACACACATAAATAAATAAATAAATAAATAAAAAATTTTAATAAAATAAAACCTGTTTTATAGTAGCTTGACTTGCTGGGCTCACTTTGTAACCTGTGCTGGTCTCAAACTCACAATAATCCTGCCTCAGTGCTGGGATTACAGTTGTGCACCACCATATTCCGCATAGGGCAATATTTATATTATACTTCTTTCTAATTTGGATTAGAGTCCAATATATTGATTTTGGTTGGATTCTCATTTAATGTGTAAATTCCAGGGCCGGCCAAATAGCTCAGCAGATTAAAGTGCCTGCAAGCAGGTGCAGGGGCCAGGGGTTTGATCCCTGGGCCTGCAGTGCTGGCCTTACCCCTGGGGCCCACTGAGATGGCAGTTGAGACTGGGTGTGGTGGTGCATGCCTGTAATCCCAGCTCTTAGGAGGCTGTAAACAGGTAGATCACTATGAGTCTGATCTAGTAGTGAGACCCTGAACACCCTGTAGACTCTTCCCTAAAATAAAAAAAAGTATAAACTTTAACTTTTTCCTATAATTTTATAGAATTTGGAATTTGCTACATCCCATGGTACTGTGTATTTTACTTCCTCTAAATTGATAGTAAAATCTGTACAGGCTTGATCAGATTTAGGTTCATTTTGTACTTTTTGGCAAGACTAGTTTAGGTGATAATGTGTATTTCTATCAGAATATTGTATGTTCTCTGATAATCCAGTTGGGTTTTTTAAGCATAAAGTAGAAATTCCCTTAGTAAATTCATGTTGGGATTTTATCCATTAGTTTCACTTAATTTTTTGGCTTTTTTTAAAAAATCTGGAACTTTTCATTCAGTAAGTGGCAGTTATTATTGGGGCTGGAGAGAGAGCTCAG